GGGAGGGGTTGTGTTCTGCCTTGATCTGGTGTCTGCTGTTCTTCCCTACCTCACCAGGCAGCTGGCAACAGCACCCCCCATGAGAGTGGGTCATTCCCTTTCAGCCTGGTAAATTCTATGTGCCTCTGGGTACAAAAGTGCCTGAACCAATGTGCTCCAGAAGTCCTAAATGCCATGGTCTGAGGTTTGAAATCAATGCCATTGAAACAGTCTGTGTATTTTGTGTTTGAAACCTTGTAGGGCTTGTCTAAGAAGCAACAGAAATAAACCCCTAACCTTCTGTGAACTTCAGGCTTTTATTTCTGTCCCGCCGATCACCTGCCCACTCATTCGCTCGTTGGCTCAGTGAGCCTTCTGACTGGCACTTGCTCTGAGGCAATATGCAAGGTGAGTACAGAATGATCTGGGCTAGAGCTCACCTCTGAGGAAGGGTAGACATGAAGATCTTCAGCAACAGGCAAGGAAGGACATGGAGAAGATCCAGGTGACAGTGTGGTGGCGGTGGCAGGATGCAGAGGAGGGGGGATGCGAAAGGGGCATCCAAAGCCCCTTCCTGGAAGGCTTCCTGGAGGGGGTGGTGTCTGTGCTGTGGTCAGAAGGCTGCAGCCTTGAATGCAGGTGAGAGCTGCAGTGCTTCTCAAACTAGAATGTGCACAGGAGCGCATGTGGATCTTGTTCAAACGCAGCTCTGAGTCACGGATCTGGGATGAAGCCAAACCTGTGCATTTCTAATAAGCTCCCAGGTGCCCTGGATGGTGTTGATCCTCAGGGATCAGGGCTGAGATGGCTTCCTTCGTCCCCCTTGTGCTGCATCTCTGCCCTGTTACCAACTTCCCCAGGACGTTGGTCCCCTGGCTGCCCTGGAGAGCTGTGCCCCTGCACACTGCAGATGTGGCTGCGACCCCTGTTCTCTGAAAGGCAGAAGGAGCAAACGCGCACCCCACCAGAGCCACAGGCTTGTGCTCTGTGTGTTCCATGTGGGATGTCCCCTGGGTGGTCCCACAAGTCGGTCCTGGGTCCATCAAGAAAACAAGAACTCTTCAGAGAACAGCCACCTATCATGCAGTCAACCTTTTCTACTGAAGCAGAACTGGCTTACTGTATAGGGAAGAAAAAACCCATACGCACAAAGCAGTCTAGTGGCTAAAAACCATTTCCTGGGAACAATGACCGAAAGATGGCCTTGAGCCCCTGATAAGAGTTTTCCAAAGAAAGAACCATGGTCAGAAAACAACTTCACTACAATAATTTTCAACAACAAAACAAATCTCATGCTTGGAGTTTTGTTTTTCTGCTCTGTGTCCTTCCACACATCACGGTGAGAGAGTTAAGCTTTAAAAGTGATAGAATGTCCATTATTAAGTTCTTGTGTGGTTTCACACAAGAACTAAGGAACAACCAGAATAACTCACATAAGTTTAAGAGAAGTTTTATCACTCAGCTACTTGATAAGCTGAATCTTTTCCGAAAGCAATGACGTGGGCCGTTGGAAGTACAGAAGCTTGCTTCTACTGGGTCACTGCCCTGGTGTCTTTACAAAGAGGAAGCTAGAACCGTTAGAGCAGAAATTCTCAATCTTACCAGACGAGCACCAACTTTTTCTAATGAATACTTGAAAAACTATTTTTACTAACCTAAAATGAAATTCAGCAATAGAACCTACCTATGCATATACTTTTTAAATCAATATAATAAGGTCTTAATTAAAACATAAAATAGAGGGGCACCTGGGTGGCTCATTTGGTTAAGCGTCTGACTTCGGCTCACGTCATGATCTCACGGGTCGTGACTTCGAGCCCCGCGTCAGGCTCTGTGCTGATAGCTCAGAGTCTGGAGCCTGCTTCGGACTCTGTGTCTCCCTCTCTCTCTGCCCTCCCCAGCTTGCACTCTGTCTCTCTCTCTCAAAAAATAAATAAAAAACGTTAAAAAAATTAAAAAATACATTTATATAAAATGAAAATAATTTACACTAACATATACAATACTGATAATAGTAATTATTATGAGTAATAATCATACAGTAATTGGTTTCAGGAGACATACAATAATACTCAACATTGTTGACCTTCTTTATAACTGACATTTTATTTTTTTAAGTTTATTTATTATGAGAGGGAGAGAGAATCCCAAGCAGGCTCTGCAGTGTCAGTGCAGAACCCGACATGGGGCCTGAACCCACAAACCAGGAGATCATGACCCGAGCCAAAATCAAGAGTCCAATGCTCAACTGACTGAGCCAACCAAGTGTCCCTTTGACATTTTAAAGTAAGGGCTAAAGAGGGGCACCTGGCTGGCTCAGTTGCTTAAGTGTCCACTCTTGATATCAGCTCAGGTCGTGATCTTGGGGTCATGGGATCGAGCCCCATGTTGGGGTCTCCCTGACAGCATGGAGCCTGCTTGGGATGCCCTCTCTCCTCCCTCTGGCCCTTCCCTGCTTGCATCTCTCAAAATAAATAAATAAACTTAAAAGAAATAAGGGATAAAGGAAGTGTGTGTGTGTGTGTGTGTGTGTGTGTGCGTGCACACGCGTGCACTGAGTGTCTGAAACAGTATTGAATGCTGTGGAGAAGCAACATGCAGAGCAGTAAGTGTCCACTGAATTTGAAAATAGGGAAACTTTTTTTTTTTTTTTAATTTTTTTTTCAACGTTTATTTTTGGGACAGAGAGAGACAGAGCATGAACAGGGGAGGGGCAGAGAGAGAGGGAGACACAGAATCGGAAACAGGCTCCAGGCTCTGAGCCATCAGCCCAGAGCCCGACGCGGGGCTCGAACTCACGGACCACGAGATCGTGACCTGGCTGAAGTCGGACGCTTAACCGACTGTGCCACCCAGGCGCCCCAAAAATAGGGAAACTTTACGGTGAGAATGTCGATGCGGTGTTGGAGGACTGGGGAGGAATGGAGACGCTAAGGAAATGGAGACTAGTTCTGGACAACTCATCCAAGAGTTGGTTATAAAGTGGGAGAGAGAGAGGATTGGTAACTGGGGAGAAATCAAGGGACAGAAAGAGAGCTCGTTTTTTTTTGTTTTTTTTTTTCCATGGTTTTAATCTGAACGTGTTTTGGGTGTTCCTGGAAAAGAACAAGATAAACAGGAGTGGCTGAAGACGAGAGACAGAGACAGAATGGGAATCCCAAGTCCTAGAGGATATGGAAAGAGCACAGGTGGCTTCAGTGAGAAGGAGGAGTGGCCTGTCTTTTAAAACTAGGTTACAAATAATTGTTGGATAAAGTGAAAAAGGAGCTGTCCAGGGAAGCTTAATAGGGGGTTATCCAAATGAAACAACTGGTTTATAACATTTTTTTGTCTAAGGTGAAACGTA